CACGTGGTTACCCTATCAATTCATTATTATATTTTTAAAATTCCTATTTCACCCAGTGGCATATATCCTTGCATATTAATATTATAAATATCTATATGCACTTGGGTTTATTTCTAGACTTTGCATTTCCTTCTACTTGTCAATATCTTTAGGAGCTAGAGGTATGTTCTTTTAATCTTAAATTCTTTATAAAATTATTTTATTTCTGATAGGGTTAATTCCCTCTTGTTCCTCTCCTTTCCAAGGTTTTCCCTATTATACTTTGTTCTGGCTTGTACCCAGATGTAAACCAAAGCCTCATGCACTCAGAAGTGGGGCTTTTCAGAGGCAGGTGGATCTAGGGTCTGTGAGTAATGATTGAGGATGTGTGATATCTTCATGCACTAATGGGTTTAGCATAGCTCTTGGTGTGGATAATGGGAAGACCTACCCTGCGTGCAGATGGCACCATCCAATAGGGTTTTAGCCTGGATGGGATAAAGGTCCAGAAGGTACACTGGCTACTGCCTGCCCGGCCATGGACTGTTTCTCCTCTGCGATGCCCCTCTGCCATGCTGCCCTGCCTCAGAGGCAGCTGACTATGGACTGAAACCTCTACAGAATGTGAGCTAAAATAAGCCTTTCCTCCTTTAACTTGTGTCAGGAGTTTTGTTCCAGCAACAAGAAAGTAACCAAGACATACTTAAATGTTTATTTTTTGTGACTTGCAAAATAAATGTGTTTAATATCAGAAAACATTCTTAATGTTCCATTAAATTTATAGATTAGATTAGGTAGAAATTATACACTTATGACATTGAGTTATCACATCAAGGACAAAAGATATTTGTCTACATGTTAAAGAACACTTTAATGGCTTTTAAATTACTTAAAAATTTTCTTAGGCAGATTTTATACATTTCTTTCTAAATTTATTCCTAAATTTCCCTAAACTTTGTTTCTATTATAGATGGATTTTTGTTTTAATCATAAAAGTCATATATAAATGCTAGTGATATTTCTATATTGATTATGTATCTTCTATCTTAAAGTATATTTTGTTGTTCAATTTCTATTTTCTACATATATTATTACTATATAATTTTCATAGAGATATTTCACTTTCTTATTTCCAATCAACATATCTTCTTGTCTAATTGCTTCGAATGGTATCTTCAACAAAATGTTAAAAGTAAAACAATGTCAAATTGCATTTTAATGTTAAATGCACATAGAGACAGAAAATAAATTGTTTTCTTTTTAACATTAGTAAGGATACCGCTAATCTTTCTTCTTTAAGTGGTGATTTTATGATTATATATGTATATATATAAATGTATTATGTATATATGTAGATAAACATGTATGTGAACAGTATATGTTATGAAAGCATGTATATGTATGGTGTGTATGCCTATATTTTAAGTTAAAATGTGACTATATGTTAAGGAAATCTATATACATACAAATGAGTATACATGGATGTTTATGTGTGTGTGTGTATATATATATATATAAAGATCTTAAATTCTTTCTTAGTTGAATACTTTACAAGGAATGAGTGAACTTTATCATAGGAATTTCAGAACTTATTGAGATTTATCATGAGTTTTTACATCTAATTATGTTAATAGTTTCTAATACTTAAATGATTTTTTTATTCTTAGACTAAATTCTATTTAATTATGTATTTTTTCTAATTTCTTTGTTGGACTCTGTTCAAAATTTTAATGATATAAATACTCAAAATTGAGAGAGTTTTATAGTTTATTTTATTTTGTGCTACCTGTATAATGTTTAGGCACCAATATGATATGATAAAAATTTGTAAGTTTGATTGTGTTTGGTAAGTTTGAGGCTAGGGTACAGTGAGAATGTGTAGTATGTGAGTATTCATCTAGGCACAGTATACTTTTTGTTGTTTTTTTTTTTGGTACTGGGGATTGAACTCAGGTCCTTGTGCTTGCACAGCAGGCAGCGAAACCACTGAGCTAAATCCCTGGCCCAGCACAGTGTACTTTTGATAAAATAGTTCTTTTAAAAATCTGTATTCCTTTTTAAGAATAAATCCACCTAAGCTTTCTGTATCTGCCAGGGCCAAGTAACCTGAGTTTTCCTAGAAAATTAACCATTTCATCTTCATTTCAATCTTTTACATAAAGTTAAATAAAATGATACCCATGTTTTCAAATTTTCTTGTTTTGATGGCTATTTTTTCTTTAATAATTATTCCTTTAAATATTTTTGCTTTCTCTTGAGTCAGCTAGATTATATTCTCATGTTTTTGAAAACTATGCTCTTGATTTAATCATTTAGTTCTAAAGTTTAGAACTAGTTTATAACTAATGATTTATTCATTTAGTTCTTTTCTTTTCTCAACCTTATTAATATTTCCCTCTTATCTTGCTTATTTTTCCTCAAGTTTCTTTTGGCTTACTTTTCTATCTACTCATTTGGCTAGAGATTTCCTTCATTTACTTTCATTATTTTGATATTGATATAAATATTTGAAGCTAAGAATTGTCTTCTGTGTATTGCCTTAAGAGTTTTATCAACACTTTCAAGCAAGTCTACCATTTCAGTTATTTCCTCTAATAGTATTACTTACTGTCCAGTTGGAACAACACTTGTATGCATTCCAATTCCGATGTTGTGACATTTGAAAATAAGTTCTCAAGTTTTAAACGACATGTGAAATTTGTATTTCCTATTGTATGGAGAGTGGTAAGAGCCACACCCTTTCATATATGCATGCATGTGCCTGTGTTTCTGTGTATATGGACAGACTGATGGGAGCAATGCCTACAGGAGTGTGGCAGCACCACACAGCACCACAGCTTCCAAGTGAATGCCCCAGCTGACTACTGAGCTGGCTGGCGGTACTGGTGTAAGCCCTAGGTCTATGCCTCCTTCACAGAGTGAGCCCAGGAGAACCTGACACAGTCTGTCATGTATCAAGTGCAAAGTATCCTAAAGAATGATAATGTGATACATTGTTGCAGAGTGAATGAAAGGGGAAAAACAGGGAATAATGAAAAGGTCACTGTAAGGAGAATCAGACTGAATACCAACTATGCCAATTTGAGGATTTGGGCAAAATTAATACAATTCTATAAAATTGTTTAAATCTATTACTGAATAGATTGATTAGGTAAGAAATAACACCTGGTTAAAGCCCAAGGTACTGAACTATCCACTTGCCTTACCTAACCCTTTAGTAAGTGACGTGTCTGAGCATCCACCAGAAGCTTGTGAAGCAATTGCTCTTTCCTTCTACGGCACAGGAACCACCAGCAATTGTCCCAGAGGATGAGACAGGGATGCAGAGCACTCCGCTGGTACCCAAAGCTCCTCAGTGACTGGTTCCAACTTAACTTCCCACTAACCTCTAGTATCTGCCGGGGACCCACTCCACCTCCCTGTACTGCTGTTCACGGAGTCCTCATGGCTGGGGCGCTGGAGAGAAGTTTGGAGAGGAGTTCACACAGGAGGGATCTATGAAGAGGAGCTGTGAGGTAGGATTGGGCTTTGGGGATGCTGTAGGATGACTATGACCTTGACTGTCATTTTTAAGATTATGTGAAATATATATGACCATTTAAAAATATAATTCTCAACCCATCTTCTACCAACAAATGTTCAGAGTTGAACGCTATTATTAATCATTTACAAATTAGTTTGAATTAATTTTAACCTGATAGTCCTACTGCTTTCTGAAACAGTCAGCTTCAGGCGCCTCTGTCTGCCGTGGTGCCTCTGTCTGATTTTCCCCAAATAGGAGACCCAGGCATCACCCACGGCCAACACCTGGGGCCCAGCCAGGCCAACTCTGCGGTTGATGCAGAAGACTCCTGACCCTCTTCACCCTTGTGGGGAAGCTGGCTCCTTCCCACGCAGCAGCCAGAGAGGGCCCTCTAGCACTGAAACCCCCGAATGGCTTCTCCATGCCCACCCAGAGTCCTTGAGCATCCCCAGGATGCCTGCAAAGCTGTGGCACAGGCAGGCCAACCGCCTCCCCTCCCGAGACACCCAGCTTATCTAGGCCTCCTGTCTCACACCCTCCCAGCGCGGGCACTGGGTTTGGGTTTCCCCGCACCTCCCGGTTGCGCCCCTCTGGACCTCATGGTGTAACAGGGAACCATGTTAGCCACACAGAAAACATGACTAGCTGAGGTCCTTTAAACTGTTCTTGTAAGTCTTCTGGTGTTCGTGGTGCTGGGTATGTAGGCATGGAAGCATCCGGGCAAAGTGCTATTTGACACGTCTGTGCATCCTGTCCCACACCCGCTGAGAACTATCTTGACTTATTAAATCATTTTACCAAATAACACCACAAGTCAGAGTTTAATGATTACATAGGAAAACGTGCATGTCTGCTAAATAACAATAAAACGCCTGTCCTCACAGGCGCGCACACTCACGCGTGGGGAGGCTGAAATGCTATTGTCCAAAATCGCTACTCTTCACTCGTGAAATCCGACTCACAGGCACTGCCCTTAGACCGACTGTGCGTGGCGCCCGCGGGAGGCTGAGTCGGCCTCCGCAGTGGAGCTCCGAGCAGCTGAGTGGGAATGGCGTGGACGAGGGTGGCCTGAGTGCAGGGTCTCGGGCCGCATTCCTAGCTGTCCGGACCTGGGCCTCGGCCTACACACGCACGTGTGGGTCCCTCTCCTCCCTCCCTTCCCGTCTGACCTGGTGACCCTGCACCTAAGGCCTCCCCTGACCATGACACTCGAAACAGCAAAGCCTCTCCTCCAGCTCCTCCAACTCCTCGCATTCACGTCGGTGCCCCACTCCACTTCAGTTTCCCTATGTTCTCTCCCCTGGGAAGCAGTTCTCAGGGCAGAGAATGTCGCTCTGTTCCCCAGTCTTCTCCAGAGCCTGGAGCTGGCACTCACGGGGTCAGAAAGTCAGTCAACAAACACCGCGGGAAGCATGCACACGGGAGACCCCGCACCTGGCCAAGAGGCGCCATCCCGTCCTCGTCCTCCTGGAGCCTGCCCCGGCTCCTTCAGCCTTACCTTGTCCTCTGGCCACGTCGCACCTGGGGATCTGGGAGCAGTAGCCCACGCGGATGTTTGGGTCGGTGGTGAAACACCAGGGAGACTCGGCCCCGTCGGGGTTCCGGCAGTAGTTCTCGCGCAGGTCCCTGTCGGGAGCAAGCACGCTGATGAGCCCTCCCAGCGCCTCCTAGCTGTGCTCCTGGAACCCCTGGGTGCTGTGCTAAGTGCTCCCCGGAACCTCGGCCTGTCTTGCTGGAGCTCTGAGGCCCGGGGAGATCTGATTTGCTGCCCGGATTTCTTTTAACTACACAGTAGCTCTTTCTTGACTTTGAAGCCTTAGCTATTTCTGGAAAAGTAAGCCTTAAGTATAGCACAGAAGCCTAAGTATAGAGCAATATTTCTACCTAGTGCATGAATGGGCTTTATTTTATCCATGTTTTGATTAGAAATGTAGAGGTTCACATAAGGAAAAAAGTCTATGTTAATTCTCTATATTAAACAGAATTTGGGGGGTTTTCTCTCTTAATATAAGGTTCATGTCAAATAAACTGTGAAATTTATGATTTGTTTTCCTGAAATATGCTCTCTGATATTAAGTTTTTTCTTTAATAGATCCCTGAATAGTAATTTAACTAGATTAATATTGAATATAATGGAAACTACAGTATTTGCAAATAGGTCCACTTAGAAATACCACGATGCTATGAATGCCCAAGCAGACCATCAGAATCTGTAAGAGTTCCCAGGAAGATCTTTGTATTCAAGTGAAAAGTCAGCAAGTCACACAGTCGATCTTGTCCACGTAGTCTTGACACAGCTGTGTTACTAAACAATCTGGGAACATGATTTTCCAATAAGTAAAGCCAATATATCAGAAGTGTTTGTCTAATAACTCATATTCAATCCTTCCACCTTCTTATAAAATTATTAACTGGAATACATGAAGTAAACCTTTATTTTCTTTAAACTAATATATACTTATATTTTAAAGATTGATTATCTGCATTAAGCTTCACATAAAATCTATACATAATTGCAATTGTATAATTGCAGAATTGGTTGGTGAAATTAGTTTGTATTTTTAATCAAAAGCAAGACAATTAAGTGACTATCCAAGGCTGTCAAAAGTCGTAGTGTGTGTGCACTTTTGGAATCCATACCGAGACACATCTCATTAGTCTAGATGAAGCACGGTGAAACTGAGGATCTGGCCAAAGAGTCTCCTTCTGTTATCTTGCTCCACTTGGAGAATGACTTGTAACTACCAAAGTGAATTGCTAATTACATGACTCATGTGTATTCATCACAGGTGGTTATATTCCACTACAGTGTTTTAAAAATTGTCATTTTTAAGGAGCCTCGATATTGGGGCAAATATTATTTAATAAACCTGAGACACCTGACTAATGCTCCCCATTCTGCTAGATCAAAAATAGTAAATGGTAAATCAATATTCTGAGCCAAATTCTGTTGACTCACAGTGTTGTCACATAGCTTATGTTTTGGTATACTTGGTATTTATGTTTGATTATTTGGCCAATAACTAAATTGCATGTCTTTAACTCCACTGAGATATTGCGAGGTCAATGCACTCAATTTCTATAATCATCCTTTTTTTACAGATACAATTTATTGGGCCTATCATATATACAATTTTTATTTGTGTATTACCATTTATTAAATGTTAACACAAGTGTGAATGGCATTAATGCTGTCTCCTTTGTCCCTTTTAACTAATCTTCTCTGATTTCCTTTGCTTTCCCTGCTTTAATATTTATTTCTGAGGTGTAAAACACATGGCTTAGGAGTAAATAATAAATTGCTATGAAGGAAATGATGGAAATAAAACCAGATTAGCAACTATAAATGTTGTTATTATAAAATAATGAAAAAAATATTAATGTGGATAATTACCATCTAAACAAATAAATGACTGAATTAGGTAACACACGCACACACATGCACACACACACACACACACACACATGTCCAGTGCATGGACCGCTAGTGCTCAAAGCTCTCCATTAAAACCCAATTATATAAAACCAATATATGTTATTTATAGGTTCTAGTTCAACACAGCCACAATGAATGACACGTGTGTTATAAATTTCAAAAGCAATCATTTTCTGTTCTCTTAACAAGGTGGGAATTTTAAAAACACATGGCATTGGGCTGTGTCTGTCCAACAAAGCCAACTGGTGAGAAAGAGCAGCCACGGCAAAGGTGCCCAACAGCACTTGGGTGACCGGAAGCTCCTCTGGCTCCATTCGTCTAAACAGTGTTTCTTCCTCACTTACCACAGTTCCAACAACAACTGGAAACCTTCATTTAAGATGGTAAAAATAATTCTGTTCATCAGAGCTTAAGGTTGAAATATTAGCAGTTTGAAGTATTGATTAAAATCCAGGTACAGTTCTCTCTTAAGGGAGAAAGCTATGTAATCCCTGCCCCAAGCTAATACGAAAATGTAAGAAGGCACTGGTTTGCAACATGCATGGCTATCACAACCATTAACAGATTTATTAACAGACTCTAAAGAGAAAGCTAGGGTCAAAAACAAGCTAGAGCTGTGTTTCCAAAGCCTAATACTTCAACCTTCTACTTAGGGTAGTTTGAGATGCCTATTTGGGTCCAAATCCCAGACTAAAGTAATAAAAGTCTCGCAATAAGGAAATAATCTCCTATTTGACTCCAGTTGGTATCTGGGCACACAGAAGTTTAAGGATTGCTAACACAAAAATCAGTAAAAAGTAATTACTTGGCCTCATTTCCTCTGGGTCCTACTGAAATATACAATGTTTGGCTCAATTACTCACTTGCACTTGAAATTTTCAGGAGTTATATCATGTTGGTGGGGATACTGGGAATCCCAGCGCTGGCAGGGAATTCCATTCCAAATGGAATTGACAGTCCCCCTGTATCCTTCTCCTTGACCTTGAAGGCATTCGGTTGTTTCCATGGGGACATCAGTGTCATTCATAGTACTGTGAGCTATTGGGAGAAAGAAATTAAAACTTAAATTCTTTCAACACCTCATTCACCCCCTAGAATTCATTTGTATTTGTGCTACTAGGATGTTTTGGTCACTTATAAGTTTTTATTATTGCTGGAATAAGAAATTCAACTAGGGCCAGGGATTTAGCTCAGTGGTTTTGCCGCCTGCTGCGCAAGCGCAAGGACCCGAGTTCGATCCCCGGTACCAAAAAAAAGAAAGAAAGAAAAAAAGAAAGAAAGAAAGAAAGAAAGAAAGAAAGAAATTCAACTCAATGCTAGTACTATCTCCATTCCAATTATCCTCTCATTCAATACATTTTATTTTCATATATCACTATAAGATATATAAGCTGAATATATAGCATCTGAATGACTATACAACTATCCCTAATATCAAATTGCTTAAGTATATACAAAGTCAGCCATCCAATTAACCATGGCTTTTCTCATACATGATAAATACCTTCTAAGGTACTATGTTTTTCTTTTGAATCAACTTGGTATTAAAAGTCAAAGCAGTTGTTCCTAGGAACATCTATTTCCTGCTTTTTTTTTCTAATCTGACTTAAGCAATGCTTACCACATTTCATGAAACCCAATAACCCTCAATAACTAAGTTAAAAAAATATACAATGAAATTTTTACCATAAGTTAGACTCTTTTTCTGCTTAATGTTCAATCACTTAATCAAAACATAACTCTAAACACTCTAAACCAACTAAATCTGCTTGATATGGTTCAATTATGAAAATCAAGTAAACTCCCCAATTATCATTACAGTAAATATAATATAAAAGTAATAATAATAAATAGTATAAATAGTCATGCAAAATCTCTGGATATAGGTAGATAAATGACAGATAGATAGATAGATATTTAATAAGAAGAAAAAATAATGGGCTAGGAGAAATGACTTGCATAGAAATGTGGGTGCTGGGGTCCTAAGTCTTTTATGAGCTCAATCTTAGCTAATGGCTGTTAATGAAATACAATGTAAGGCTGGATTTCATGGGTCCCAAGGACCACACTTCATCTGCACTGATGTCACGACTTACTACCTTTCTGACAATCTGAGTGAAGTTTCTGAATCGTGATAACTCATGACAAGTCAGGCTTAGACCAATATAATTATTTCACGTTTAGTTATAAAACTGGCCAGAAAGAAGGAAAAACCGTTCCCAGTTCATTAGCTCAATGTTGCAGCAAGAAAAATTTTGATTCCACCATTGCAGTGTTTGAATACAGCCCAATTCCTGCGCCCCTCCTGCTGCCGTCCAACCCCATGCTGGGGCTGGGAGGAGGCAGTGAGTTCCCGAGGGGGAATTCATCCCTTCCTCTCAGGAGGGGTTCCCTCTTCCTCTTGAGTGTGGGTCACTGTAAAGCACGCCCTCCCCGTGTTTTCTCTTTGCGCCATGTGGCCCTGCTCCTCCACTTTTCTACTGAGTCACCACGCAGCAGGACACCCTCACCAGATGCTTGTGTCCTGCTTGGTGTTCCAGCCTCAGGAATCACGAGTGAAAACGGACATCTATTGTCTATACATTACCTAGTCTAGGCTATTCTGTTATAGTCACAGAAAACTGACCAAGACGCTTACCTCTGGGGCATGAGCTCATGGACAGCAAGCTTGGGACATCTGTCATAGCTTCTCAGATTGGAAGTGAGTTCAGTTAGGGCAGCCATACAAACACACCTCCACTAATCTTTTCATGGATCTCCTTGTCTCCCTTGGTCATCTCAATTCTTTTGCCTCCATACTGAGTTTGTGTAACTTCTGTTCTTTTTATTATTAAACCATTTTTCTTAAGCATTTTCCTTAAGTACCATCCTGATACGATCCAAATGCCAACCACAGACCCATTCTCAGTGAACCCATAAGTCAGTCATGGATGGCACTGGCCAAAGATGGGGCCATCACCAACCTGGGAAGATAATTCAGAGCTGAGCCCATCACATACGAACACACTCTGTTCTTTGGACCTTAGCATAACTTTCCAGATACCAAGCAAAACAACAAAAACAAAGAGAATAATAAGGTAATCAGGCATTATTGGGGATTTGGTCATTGTCCAGTGGAATTTCTAAATACAGAAGCAGGTTCAGAGATATTTCTTCTATTACATGAACCTAGCTTCATCTTGGGTAGGTGGAAGGAGAGGGAAACAGCCTGCCTGCTGTGTCAGTATGAAATTAAAGACCAAACATCATCTTTGGGATGTGTTCTTGGAAAAGGAATTCAAAGTAAGTTTTTTTATAAATGACTTTGGAAAGTTGTGCTTTTACAGAAGTGACCCATAACAGTTAAAATTTGAAACATGTACAGCCTGAGAAACAATCTTCAATGTACTTTTATAAAAAGGAATATTATTAAGGTAAATAAAGATCTTACTCATTGGGAAAATAAAACTTAGCAAATGCAAGGAGTAAATAGAAGCACTCATATCCTCCCCAAAAATATTAAGAGGGGAGATAACATTTAATGTAAGTTAAGCATTTTCCTTATTACAGTGAAAACTTTTAAGTTTTAAAAGTCTCTGAGATAAGAAAGAACTGTGTTACAAAAATCTAAATTCAAAGAAAACTACCTAATTAAAACTATTGAGAAGAAAATGTCACTGCTGATTCATCTCAAATTTCACTGTCAAGTTTGGACACCGGTGATATTAGAGTTAACTTTGTTCTGCAACTGCAGAGGTTTTCAACCACCTTTGATTAAAGAATCTTTCACTTTAAGACTAGTAATTTTGAAGTTTTCTTCATTTAAACCATTAAATTTAATAGTTTTTTCTAAAATTTAATTCAGATATTTTAAAGCCCTTGACATAAACTTATCTTAAAGAGTCATTAAATGGTCAGTAGGAAGAAAGTACATTCAAATAGTTAAATAAAATTTAAAAATTGGATTTGGATGAAATAATTTAGATTATGTAACATATTCAAATTTGGAAGCAGAAAATATAACTTTTTCAAATTTCCAAAATGACAGAATAGAAAGGATTATTGTTTATAAATAAAAATACAAATAAGTTCACTAGGCCTCAGTAACATATAAAAAAATCTAAAATAATATGATTATTGTCATTTATTTTAATAAGCATCTGTAATTTTATGTAACCTTAAAGAATCTGACAGTTTGCATTTTTTCTTGCCTTTTAATTAATTGAAATGTTTCTCATGATTTCCACTACTGACTAGCAGCATTCAGCTAGTATTTTTACTTAAAAGTATCTGCTGAAGTTATTACATCTGTATTTATCTCATTTGATAGTCAGCTGCTAGAAATGACCTCGCTGAAAAAAACAAATTACATAATTCTGGCAACAATGTATACAATAAATAAAATTGAATAAAAGGATATTAATACAGTGATGTAACCAAATGAACTTTCATCAATAAATAATAGTTGTTGTGAGAATTCATGAAGCTATTTAATAGACACTGTGTGGCGAGGACCAAGACAATCTGCCCATAGACCATTTAACTGCGATACCAATGTTTGCTGTTTGCCTCTCCCACACTAAGGATTCCAATGAAATGAATTATTCCCAAACTGCTATAAAATAGACCCCTTCTGCTGCCTTACTGTATAAATGTCAAAGCTCAATACAAACACCAAACAAATGTTTCACAATAATTGATTTGGAAAGCACTGTAACTATCCGGGAAAGGCATTCCCTGGTACCTAATCCTTTAAAGGGGACTGAATAAGGGAGTTTTGAGGTCCCCAGTGGCCAAAGGAAGCGTTGGGGAAGTACAAAACTGGCTCCAAATATCAGCTGAAACAGATCAAGTTGAGATAAAGCAACATGCTTTTAAAACAGCATCTTCACATTCACAGATATTTCTGCAAAGATGTCTACAAAGTTCACACTGAGAATACCAGGAACTCTTCTGAGAGTTCCACACAAATGAAATATTTGGCCAGGGCGTCAGTGGCCATGTTTTGGAAACAGATGCAAGATATTTATATGATTCTCAGTGGCCTATGAATGAAGGAATGTTTTCTTTTGATGACTGACACAAACTTTTCTGTTTGGAAGTACTTGAAAGGAAACAACATTTGTATTGAAAATTTCACTGTCCTGTTAACAAAATGTCAACACAACATCTGCCTCTTGGATTACTAATTTCACTTTGCTAGCACCACAGAAATGGGGTCTGGCTGCTATAACACTGTATTTGAAGGGAATTTTGAAGTTTTAATAGGTTTTTTGAGACAAAGAGCATTTAACCATTGTATAAATTTGAGGAGATGTGTCCTGCACCCCAGACAGAAGGAGATGAATAGAACAAGACACTAACAGTGCGGTGGGTCCGTCTCCATCGAAGAGCTGTCCCAGGGCCTTGACGGGAGCCCATGCAGGGCAGCCTGACAGTCCACGTGCACATGCACCTGTGTACCACACAGGCCCCCCCAGCTCCTGAAGCCTGAAATGCACATAGGTAAAATCCCACATGTCTAGTCCTCCCTGTCCTCAACTCCCTGCCAAAAGAAGATTCAAATTCTGCAGTGCAGATAACGGCTGCTGCTCTTTTCCTGTAGCTAAGAATAGATGCCTCCCTGGGCAGTAGGCAGGTACCTGACTATCCTGGGAACTGTGGCCCAGCCCGGCTCCCTGCTTCTGAGCCCAGCTACTGGGGAGAATAGAAGCTCAGGGTTTGCTCTCCCTGCCCTGGAGGCAGGCTGTGGGCCAAAGCCAGCCTCCCGTCAGCAGTACTGCAGAGGGTGGCTCCACTCACTGTAAAACTGAGAGCCTCTTGTCTTCCAACTGACGTGGGAAAGTAGTAAAGACCCCCACAGTACAAGCTTCAAATTGCTTGCACGTTTGCTTTCCATGTGAAGCCAGGATTCGTATCTGAAACTTTTCCCTGGACTCTGTCCAAGCCTTTTCTGGTACAAAATGCTCAGGAGACAAGACTTTCATAAGTCTTCAATTCTATAGGCTTATTCCTTAGAAGACGACTTGGAAAAGATGTCGAAGTAAGAGATTTTTCCC